CTCTAATCGGTCGTCCCGGACCGAGTATGGGAAAAGACACGCCAAGTTACGTACCATCGGCATCATTGTCTCGAGGAATGTCCACACAACCCGAAGGATGCCAAAAAGTACCTTACTACTCGCTAGAACCGGGTGCTTTGAAATTTGGTGATAAACCGCACAGTCATACGCAACTGTATCTCAATTTCAAGAAATTCTGGGAGAAAAAATATACGATAGAATTCGATTTTAGAACATATTATCCCAATGGATTGCTGTTCATTACTCCGGTAAAAAAAAACACATACACATATGACACATAATTATAATTAATAATTTTATTTACAACTAGTATAAACTTATTTTACTAAATTAAACAAAACATACGTATTTTATAAGAACTTTCCGTTTTTTATAACACTAATGTTTCATATAAATAAAGTTGTAATCATTTAATTATAATTTAGTTAATTATAATTTTATAATATAACATTACCACTATTATTGTAAATGCACAGGGTCTTTGGTTGAAACACTATTTAATGGTACTCATCCGGGATGGGCAGCTTCTTTTGGTAGTAAAAAGCAAACAAAGGAAGGAAATACTATTCAAGACACCATTTAATGACGGCAATTGGCATCATGTCGTTATCAGCCATGAAGAAAGAAAGCTCATCCTATTAGTGGACACTCAAACACCACGCGTTATCAAAGTACCGAGAAGAATTGGTCTCGCATCCATGATGTATATCGGTGGTCTTCCGGAAAGCGGAACGCCTATCCCGGAACAAGTGGTTGTTAGATTAGAGACATTGAAGGGATGTATCAGAGGCCTGAAGATCAATGGAAATGTTTACGACATGGTGGGTTCCACCAGTAGAGCCTTTAATGTCGGTCAATGCTTCCCAAGCGTCGAGAGCGGAGCATATTTTCAGGGCGAGGCTTATGCTATTTATCGTAAGTCACGAAACTATTATAACTAAAAGGATCTTAAAGAGAATACTTAAATCTTGAACGTAAAATAAGTAGCTGAAATATTTAAATCATATTATTTTTAGTCTCTTAAATTAAAAATTTTAAATAACATGACTTTTTTATTATAAAAAATATAATAGCATCTTAATTAATGGTACAGAAGATACAAGAAATATTGATTTTTTTCTTTGTTTTAAATTTTCGGAGTAACAATTTTATATTCTTTTAGGAAACAACTTTGAGGTGGAGGGCGTGCTCGAACTTCAATTGGAGTTCAGAACATCGGAAGTATCTGGTGTGTTGCTATCGATTACTGCACCTAGTGGTTCGCCTTCTCTATCATTGGAACTCAATAGCGGAAAGGTGATCATGTCAGGTGATCTGGGCGACAATAATCCATTATATGTGGAGCAGGGCTTCCCTAATCACTACGCAATTTGCGACAATCGATGGCACAGAATTCAAGCCGTATATAATGACGAGGAGCTGGCGCTCAAGGTGGACGAGCTGGATCAAAAATATGGCTTGCCCACAAACGTTAATTATCATTTAAATACTTCTGTCTTCTCCGGCCCGTTGTATATAGGCGGTATACCAGGTAAATAAATGTTGTATTTAATTAGTATGTAAATAAGCCTGAATAAAAAAGGAACATAAAAGTAATTTAACTAACACTGTTTCATTGTCTCCAGCGACTGCTCAGAAAGGCTCGCTGTTAAGTCGAGACCATTTCAATGGATGCATTAGGAATGTAATGATAAGAGGGGAAAGGCGAGACTGGACGGACATGGCCGAACTGCACAACATCCACCTGAGCTCTTGCCCAGTTCAATGATAGCGGGATGTGAAGAGAAAAGGCAATTTACCTCGGCGTTCAGCGCTTTTAGTAGTTCCAAAGACTGTTCGAGGAGTCGCGTTGGGTTCAACAATCGCATCGAGATTAACGTGCCATATATTCGCAAGCGACGAGTTCTTTAAGACTTAACAAAGCCAAAAGATGCTAAACCGTAGACCGTTAAGCTAATCGTCGTAACATGAAAATAGAAAAAGGAAAAGAGAAAGAGACCTTACGTGTCGGTCTCGCCGTGACAGACAAACGATGGCACGAATAATTTCGTCATACGTACGCAGGTATGCGTAACGCGTGCAAACGGTGACATTTTACGCGTAAATAGCGAGACCACTGCCATATAGTTTAATTATTCACCGTAAGCCGCAAACAATTTGTACATCAGTATTTAAATGCCATTATTTATTATCGTTAACGTAAATCCGATTACGAGAATTCGTGATCGTCGCGTCGACGAGTTAGGGAATAGAAAATAACGCGATTACGTTTTGTACTTTTATAGTTAGACATCTACTAGAGCCCGACATATCTGTACATTGTAGATTTTTTATTTGAAAGATTTATCGAGAAACATGCAAGTGCTCTGTAAAAAAAGAAGTGTCCTTTAATCACGCACACAGAGAGATGATGTTCGAAGAATATTTATATCTAATCTTCTCTCTCATACATAACACACGCACACGACTTTTGTTAAACTGTAATATATTACATATACACAAGAAAAATTAACAAATGACGAAAATCCGCTGTTGTGTATAAAATATATAACAAGACAAAAAGCACATTGGACTGTGTCGCTTTGATTTATCCTCTTTAACGCTCTTAAGATTCCTACAAAATACCTCAGAAACGCAGCTTTATGAAATTTTACAATGTAATTTTTTCTTTAAAACGGAGGACAATTGAACACAAAGAATTAAAGAGTTCTGGAGAATTAAGAAACTCTTACTCTTATTTACGAATATAATCTCCATTTCGAGATGTCTCATATTAAAAATTGAAGAAATTTTCATCAGAAGAAAAAGCCAAATCTCTTAAAGAATGTGTCATTGAGGTACGATTAATGATGGATTACCTTTGCGTGTATCCATCCGCGGAAGAATAAAAGTCTATTACAAATGGGTTATTAAATTTTATTAATGACATTCGCTGCGAAGATGCTAACAGTAAATTATGACCCAAATCTTACATGACGTACTGAATAAATATACATATCGTCGAGTAGGTAGGTATACGTTTTTTTCGTTTTATGTGTATATAAAAACATAATATTTACAGAGACACGGATAGAAGTTCGAGAACTGATATTCGTCTTGACGTCGAAATTTCAGCGACAATAAAAATCGATAATTATTACGTAACAATAATCGTTTATTATTAGTAAGCGCGATTTAACTGCGGCGTACAAATTTACGTTGTGCCGCAGTATTCAATTGTGTATGTGTGTATATGTGTATGCTTCGGTTTCCCGTCTCTCTTCTTTCCCGTCTCGGTCCATTTTATTTTGTCCACGTTTAATTGTCGCGCATCCAAATCTTTTTTTTCACCAGCTCACTAATAATATCTATTCTTCAAAAAATATAAATATCAAGCATAAGCGACCAATATCGAGAGATCTCTCTTAACGTCATCATAACTTTGTAATCAATCCCATTTCCACAAGCCATTATTCTCGCTGGCTCTTAAGATTAATGACTATGTATATATTTATATATATATTAATTGCAATCAATTCATATATATCTCTTTCTCTCTATCTCTTCACTCTCTTCTTAAACACATTGTCATCATGAACTTACTGCAATTTGCACTCCATCTCAAAGGTTTCATAATTTCTTTCTTCTATGGCGCATACCTTCGATATTGTCAGGTCGGACTGTTTCTGAGTCTAAGATTCTCTATCTTATCGCTCTTTTTCTCTCATCATCGTACTCGGATAAATTTACAATAGACGGGGATATAGAACAGTGAACTCTTTTCTCTCTCGATTACTACAATCTCGACGGAGTTAACAAGTCCCTTTCATTACACATGGTCGAACGGCGAAACGCGAGACGGCGAGGTCAAGCCGACCACAGCGTTCCACGAAAATTGAAGATACATAAATTACTTCCTCTGCAGTTTCAGCGGAGAACACTCGATTTCGATATGTCGCATTGTATTTGTAATTGTATCGTTAATAATCTTGTATTTGCGTTACGCCGTGTCGCGGAATATGGAGGATCTATCTATACTCGACACGATTGTCCGCATCGAGTCGAAGACTTATCATACAAAATAATTGAAGAACGATCCTGGAGGCGGCGTCCACAACGTCGTCATCATCGTGAACGAAATCCGAGACCAGAGAGAAAATAATCATATAAACGATAGACCCTCAATATTGTCGTATAAAATAGCTACTTGAAGTCTACCTATCTCTAGCTTCTTCTCCTCTCTTACAACATTATTATGAAAGAAACGTATCCGACCAAAAAGGCCCATTCAGCGAGATAGGAAGCCGATGCCAGTCCCACACGAAAAGCGAACATCGAATTTATGGCACAATAAATTATAACAGTTTTTCCGATAAATTACGGACCGCCGCGTTCTTCATTCGCCCGGACTGACTGAAGTTTCGCTGAGAGACGGCGGGATGTGTCGCGATTGCCGGTAAATTCCTATGGAGGAAACGTAATATACGATTGAAGAAAAGTCAGACTGTCAATTCATTAAATGTTTGTACGCACTTAGTCCAATTACATCGTTCATAACATAAGGCTTCATACTGATTTCTTTTCTTTTCGAGGAAGGCAGAATATTATAACTGGAGAACTTTGAGTAACAACGCTTCGTTCGGAAAAAAAAGCGCGATTCCATCAGTAAAATTGATTTAGACTACACACCTATCTTCCACCTTCCTCTTATATAACAATAAAGATTGAAGCGCGTTTAGAAGGAAAACAGAAAGCACCGCGAGCCTCCCTTTCCCGACGGTCCTTCGACGAACTTTGTCCGCGAGGCAATGATACTTATGCAATATTTACTTTCTGTACACAGTGACTATCTAATCTGTTGACGAAACACATCGCTCGCTTTAAAACAGCCGCTTCGACGTAAACTAATGCATATATCTCGCACGCATTTGTTTTACAGTACAAACTTGAAACGCATAATTAAGCTCGAACGATTGACTTTCGTCGCAAAGAAACGGATGCATCATAATGAATTTATTGTAAGGCTGGTCTTATACCTGACTGTTAATTCGCAACTAACTGATTTATTTACAATATGAGCTATCGTCGTTCTCATCCGTCGTCACCCCGTTGACAAGTTTCATCCCTCGCGAAGAATAGAGAGATGAGAGGGGGACACTGCAAAAATCGCGCTGCGCACTACAATCGTCAACAGCCGCGAGAAACGTACACAATATGAGAAATCATTAATTCAACTCCGTTTGAGTCGCGTCGAATATTTTGCCGACACATATCTCAATCGGTAAAAAGAACCAAAATATATATAAAAAAACAACACTCTCCCCGATTAAAAAAGGAAATTGATATAAAAAAAAAAAGAGAATCTTTTTTGCAAGGTTACATAGTATGCTATTATACAGAAAATAAAACCAAGTTTAAAGTCAGCGAATTGCGCACGAGACACATCTAAAAATTAATGATCCCTCACATGATCGCGCGTTTTATATCATACTTTAATATGTTCTTTAAAAGGTTTCAAATGCACTAGATAGTAATCGTTGAATAATTTAGAATCCCTAGCCTAGCGAAGGATGGAGAAAGATCTGTGTGAATTGCAAATTACAGATACATGCACACATGAGAACACAAGCTGCACCGTTGCCATCCTCCCTTACTCTCGCTTCGTTTCGCAAAATAAATTTAGGAAAATCAACTTTCATATTATATATCCATGAGAATCGTACGCTCACGCAGTCGCAACACAGCAGTTTACACGATTACAAGGCGGTTACATGACGAGAGTTAGTCCGCAAAATTAAGGGATCTTAGGGGTGTATATTGACAACAAACCATCTTATAAATAGATACTGGTAATCTTATGACACAATGATTGATGCTGAAAATCAACGGAAAAAAAAGAACCGGAAACGCAAGAAAAAGTAAACGAAACGCATTCTCCCTGGTATGTAACCACGTTCCCCCGATCTTTTCCACCCCTTCAAAAGCGGCGTGCGATAAAAAAAAAACGCGGGGCTCGCGCGCCAACTGTGATTATTTCTTTATAAAGTCAGCACCGATCAATTGTCCTTATAAAATTGACTAAAAACGCAACGTATTCGCATTAATTTAATATGGGCCTGTATTAAAATAGTAACTATGAACAACAGAGGGCACAGTAGCGTAATGTTAAGTGTGTGATCACTTATGTAAAACTATATGACGAGTGGTATGTCCTTCTTGTTCGGTAAGTTCACCTTTTTACCTTGCCAAAGGCTGTTGTGTATCGTAAAGGCATCTATGGTCACTGTCAGATGCTTCGTGTGAACTTGCGAAAAGCATTTTCCACTGGAATTATATCTGAAACGAAAAAATAGACAGCAATCAATAACATGTAACGCATCGAGACGTTTAAAATAAAGATATATAATTGATTGAAGGAACAAACTGAAGGAATCGACTCTTGATTTCGCTTACTTAAAAAATTTGTCGAACATATTATCGATGACTTGTTTGGGCCCAGTACCGTACAGCTTGGCTACTTCCTCCCTCTCGGGACAGTACGAATAGAGAGCGCGAAATTGGCAGCCGGCATCTCGAAACAGGATGAGAAAGTGTTTGCTTTCGGACCGGCCAATCTCCTCCAGAACCCTCGATTTGGCTTCTCTGTTCACCGTGCCGGGGAAGACACAGTACTCCACAGCGTTCAGCATTATGTTGCGATTCGATTTGGCTATCGGCAGTTTATACAGTCTCGGGCCTATTTCAGTGGAGATATAAACAGTTGGTTTCTTAACTTTGTTTTGTATGATAAAAAAAATATAGCGATTCTCGAGTGCACTCCTGTCAGAATCAATATACTTATTGATGCCTCTTACCGTTGTAGTCCATCATAGAACTGGGCGTGCTGCTGATGTCGCTGCTGCCATCATCGTAGATCCTTTTCTTCGACGTCATCAGGGCTGGTGGCAGTGAGCCGGGTCCCGAAGGTGACGTTAAGTGCCTCATGCTGCCTATGCCCGGACTGGCGGCACGTCTCGGAGGAGTCGACCTGCCCAGGCCGCTATCTGAATCTGTTTGTCGACACATCATACAATCTTGATCACTATTTACACCTGCGAATGCACGCTCCGCATATGAAGATAAAAATCTCAACGGATAGGCAAATATCTATGCGTTACGATTCTCATTAAAGGATGACAACTGTATATTTTTTCCCTTTTATCACCCAAGTGATAACAAATCAGAATACACAGAGATCTTTCGTTTTTATTATTAATGATGGTTAGCCACCCCGCCAAGAATGTATTAGTCACTTGTTATAAACGTGCGAGATACCTCCCTTGCCTTAAGTTCAGCTTCGTAATTTGCGTCTTATTATGAAAAGTCTTTCCAAAATATTTGCAATGTACTTTATAGTCTGATAAAATAATTGTAAATGCTTGTGTGTTTATCAACTATTGTTAAATCACTGACTGCACTAGAATGATTCTAATATATATGTCATGATTCTCTAGCGTACTAATTATCAAAACTATGAATTTCTCGATTAATGCTAATGCGATGATTTATGCTGATAGCTTGATACCAATGATTTAATCCAGTTCTGCACTTTGCGACGAAACACTCGATCGATTATAGACATTAAATAATAGGATATAGCAAATTCATCCACACTGAGTACGTGAGTCTCGATTATATATCGCGTACGAAATAAATTTGCTATACTTCGTCACCACGATACCTGAAAATAAGAACAATAAAAGGATATTGTTCACACACAGAGTGGGATATTCAAGGCGAAGTAATAGGATAAATCGGAATACTTAGGAACGAGTCGATAGGATTATTATAAACGGATACCATAGCCACCGACAGAATAAATCTGGAAAGACACCGATCGACAAAATATACTTTGTACCCACACCCAGTGCTGTACAACAAGCCCAAATAAGCTTCAATCGAGCCTTCTCTACACAACAGCAACAGCAACAACAGCAAAAATGAGTCGTCCTAAGAAAATGAGAGTGCAAAGTTCCACCTCAACGGAGACACCGATGAAACGAAGAAATCATAAATCTCGTGCATCGCTTAAAAAGCACGAAAGAACTAAGACACCATCACTTCGTTGTCAAGCCGTGTTGAAGGAACTTTGCTCAAACGTATAACAAAAAAGGAAAAATGCATATGATTGTTGTGCGCATGTATGAGTCGTTAAGTACCATTGCCACCTGTGTGCTCTCCAGCCTGCCACCATGCCACTACGTACATGTGAGTGTAAGTGCGCGTGTATGTGTGCTACTCGAGCTACAAAAATCTCGGGACGTTGTGATATACATATTGTAAATATATATACACGGGATACATTGAGACTGTTGCACGATATAGAAGGGAGATCGAATGTATTTCCAAGTCACTGTGGTGCTTCTTACCGCACAAATTCATCAGGGAATTAGACTTTCTCCCCTTAAAGTTTTGGTAAGTCTGGTATTTAGGCCTGCCTCTAACTTGTTGCTGAGACTCCTGCACATCTGCAATAACGCAACGTTTGCCTTGTTACACTCAAAACGCCATGTACGATCAGAGAGATTAAATAAGTTGCGGGAGAGATGCCTCAATCGTGTGCATCTCATTGAGGGAGCGAGCGGGCGCGGGTAAGGTTTAAAGGGGTTTAAAAAATGGAGGATTTTGAATCTAACTACTAGCCATATCCGGGGGTAACATCGAGAACTGAAGTGGCCGGTGCAGTTTTTGGTGCAGAACAACGTTGCGTTCCAACTGAAAAGATGTCCACTACAAGGCGCTACTTAAAGACAAAAATTGAAAAAAAAATTGAAAAAAAAACGGGGGAACAATCATACCCGCAAAGTGTCGTGACCTTGCTCAGTTGCTCGTAGGGGATAATCAAAGGCTAATTAAATATTCAAACATTCATCGCGTAAATTTCTGATAGATTATAGCTGCCCATACCAGTGTGTGATAACATCCTGCAACGAGTCTACTTTCGTCAAGCAAAACGTTTAAGAAACGAACAATCGTACAGAGCCTGCGGCATTCCCGCGCTAAATTGTAAGTAACATTAAACCCACCTCTGGAGGTCTTGTAGGAGCCGCGTCGACCGAGCTGATTCACGCTGCGGCAAGGCGAGGAACCCCTACCGTCGTCGGGCGAATCTACGGAAGATACTAAAAAAACGGGGTATCTCTATTACAATCAGTTTCAATTCTCACTGCAGGTTTTACTACTTATAAATATAGATATATCAAGTAATTATCAACTGTTTACTACGAATTATACATCAAATTACAGATATTGAAAAATAAGATACAGAGCATGCCAAATTGAAAAACGGAAAGTGCAGTAAAATGAATTTTTGTTGTGAAAAAACATATTGTGAATTACATACAATAGATATCTTATTCTATCAATTATACTTATTCCTCAAAGTTAATTTCTCTCCTGTATAGACTGTATAAAAGATTCAGAGAATCTTTAGAGAATTAAATGCCATTGTTATTGTTAAATTTGAATTAACATGTTTCAATTTTCTTGATCTGTATAATCTTACTGCACAATATCTTGTTTCAAGTTTAGATTGATTTACGAAGTATTAATGTATCCTTACTCTTTTTTTTGTTGTGTACAAAAAATTAATTACATAACTCATCGCGCAAACATTTCTAGGTATCCAGAATTTAAATAAAAAGAAAAAATTTGTAAATGTGTACTGTAAAAGCGCGGTGAGAGAGTGTATGTGGTGCATACCCCTGAGACTGCCGCCCCGATAAAGAGGGCCGGAACAACGTCGGTCATCAAGGTGGGCAGCAGTGAGACTATCCTGCGAGCCTCGGTAGTAGTCTCGCCTCATCGTCGGAGAGGTCAGCGACGCTATAGTAAGTGTGTTAGTGCAAAACAATCGGCTCGGTATTTTCTGTACTATTCTAGTTTGGTGTCGATATTGCCGACTCGTTGAGCGATTTACAATAGCCATTGACGCGGCGATAAACTAGCATAGACGAGAAAATCTGGAGCTCGTGAGCATGTGGTCGGGGTGAATTCATAAAAGAAGAAACCAATTATAATGAAAAAAAAAACAATACAGCAAGAATGATACGTCACTACGACGGAAGAGAAAACGGCTCTGATCGTAAAAATCTTCGCCATGCAATGAATAAATGCAAATTACAACATCAAGGAGACTATTGGCTATTATAAGGGTATTATAGGGGAAGTGCACTTGCGACACAAACAAGAAGTAAAAAGATCCATCTTCTTGGCAATTAATTTGAAAATGGAGATTTAATTTTTCTTCTTCAAGGAGAATGTACTTATTCTTTTTTTTTCATATTTTTCTTTTTCTCAAATCTGTATCTGTATATCTATCAATATATAATATTAAATCTTACTTTTCAAGTTCTGCCAACATATTTAATCCCCAAGAAGCATCGATCGTTGCAACAGATAATTTTCTGCAAGTGTAATTTAACGGCAATCTCACCTGTACTTAAATTGGAAGAAGAACCCTTCTTCCCGCGACTAGGTGTAAGAGCCCCGGAATCCAATACTGCGCCAGCGTCTCCGTGAATTGTTTTGGGCCGCGGTCGAGCGGTTGCAGTCTTGTTACGTAATTTTGCTGGATTTATTGCATTCAGAAGATCCTTATCAATTACCTTACCCTAGAAACAGCAATAAAAAGTACGTAAATTTATTCCTGTTAATTTAACAATTACATTAACAAAACCACTTACTTCTCTCTCTGCCTCCTCTATCGCTTTCTTCACCTTATGGTGTTCCAAGATAGCGGCTCGCCGTTGGCGTTCCTCTTCTTTCTTGCGAGCTCTCTCCTCCGCCTTCAGTTTCTCTTTTTCCCTACGTGCTTGGGCCTCGATTTCTTTCCTTTCCTTCATTTCTTCCTGCCTTTGCCTTCTCTGTAGCGACATCAACATTATCCTCTCCTTCTTCTTCTCCATTTCGTCCATGCAATTCTATAGAATTTTAATTATAGTATGTATATATTAAAATTTGATAAGCAAAATTAAAATCAAAAGAAACAATGTGTAACTATGTACAAAATTTGTTACTACTATTTGAATAATAAATATTGTATTCTGTACAAATATAATGATAAATATATTATAGAATTCTATACAAATATATACCGGATCAGGATTCGTGAGTTGGTTCCCAATCACCAGACCAACTCCGGAAGCGTGTCGGCTGTCTGTGCTGCTGTCTCGCTGTTTCTCCCTCTGTCGTTCCTTCTCCATTTCCCGTTTGAGCTCCCTGTCTCTCATTTCTTGCCTTTGCTGTTCCCTTTCGTCGGCTTGCCGCAATCTTTCCCGCTCCAATTCCCGCTGAGCTTCTATTTGTTTGTGCTTCTCTATCACGTTAGCGAGAGGCGATTCTGAGTGCATTGTAAAGTCCTCGTGTTCAATGTAAGACGACATACTTCGTTCCTAAAAAACAATTGTTTATTTAACTGCTATCTTTTTAAGAAATACTATACATATAGTAAAATTCAATTTAAAACAAACAAAAATGAAACAAAGAGAGAAGTAAAATAATTAAGAGTAAAATTAAAAAATTGAAAATTCATTTGTAACCAAAAATACGCTCACCTTTTTAGGAGACGTTCTTTTTACTCTGAGGGCCGGTTTTGGTTTCTTGGGAGCGTCATTGTCGAAGGAGATATAGAATCCTTTCTCATTTGGGTCCGTGGAATCGAGAGGCGTAACATCCGGAGTGGCTGAACGCGACGTCTCCCTTAACGACGGATGAGGTTGGAAAGAATTCTGCGATATCGTGGGTCTAGTTGGCGATGGTATTCTGTATGTACGACTACCCGACGTAATATTCAAGCCGCGAATACCTTGTGCGATATCGTCATCGTTGCCTTCGAAATAAAAAAGAGGTTTGAGAAAAAATTTTTTATAGTTTCTTTTACAGTATAATAATTTAAAAAACATGTATAAAATGTGATATTGTTATATAATCACAAAAGAATCATAAAATAAAATTTTATTACCGATGAAAGATATATTTTGGGGTTTCATGTCATCGACAGGTGGAGCTGGTACAGAAGTGTGCAAAGCTTGCCTCTTCTCCGTCGGGCTTTCACATGAGATCGGGATGTGATGTACAGTTGATCTCTTAGGTTCAGGACTTTCACTAATTAACTGACTTATTCGATGAACCTAAAATAGCAAAATATGATCATATAAGAAAACGAAATAAATACATATTTTATTACCGTCTTAACAACTAATATATTTTTACTGTACAAATTATACAGAATCTTAAAAAAAATAAATATTAAAAAATCTAGTAATATCTAGCGACATATATATAATGTAAAATATACAAGACTTAGAGTGAGTAAATTCGTATTTGACGTAAACTTGAAATATCTACAAAACACACTATCACGGCACCATTGTCGCAACATGATTTTCTCATATAATTCAATTATCATTTTTTCCGCGTCTATCAAAAGCGAGACGCAAATGCATAAAAATTAGGTAAACCAGCTAGGACAAACCTTAGTGAAATAATCGCGCGATGTTGCGACGGCCGAGTTAAGGAAATACATGTTATTTAAATTTACAAATCACTTTAGAGAAGACTAGAGGTAAATTTCCGAGCCGAACGCGACCGTCTAGACGCTAAGACTGGCCAGTGTGGGTAGTGTCTGCCATGTTGGGTGTCAAGAACAAGCTATAAGCGTGCATTACATCATCAACTGGTTCTCATGCATATACGTACTCGCTCGGGGCCAATCCTTTGTATTGAAGTGACCAAATCGAGTTGATGATCGGCGCACGCATCGTGAACGTTTAGCTATAACTTTTCACTCACACAATAATCGCTGCTGTGGGTGCAGCATTCAATCTCGCCCGTCTTTCTGTCTTTCGTAATAAATTGATACAATCACGTGCGTGTGCGCATTGTATGCAGAAAAGCTATTTAGTATAAATCTAAATAGATTTGTGACGAGTGAGTGAGTGTGATAAAACGTTACAGTAGTAGAACCAATATAATTTTCGTCGAGTACATGATTTGGATCATTAGTGTGTAAAAACACAGAAGAGATTTCAAAAAAAAATCATGGGGGAACACTTACAGTGTTACGATGTTGTGGACTAGCAGATGTGGCTTGTGTTTGGTTGAAAAGCGCCGAAGACGCTGGAAAGACGCTGGCTGGACCGGGGTGGCTCATTTGATTATTACACAGACTATGATCCCCGTTGAGGTACCTTGGTTCCTGAGTGTCGTGCAAAACGAATCCCTTTTGCGTTGGGTGCGGAGCGGCCCAAGTCCTTGTTGGATCCGCATACATGCGCATGTCCTGCTGATAAGCTAAGAAAAAAACATTCAGAAATAATCTACTGAAACGTATTAAAATTAAAAAAGAAAAACATGACAGACGTGATTTTTCAACTTCTAAAAACAAATTCTGCAGAAAAACTTTTTGGTAAAAAAAATTGTTTTAAAATTCGTATATATATATATATTTCAGAAATTTCAGAAATAGAATATTATTATTATTATTAATGTAAAAATTAATTTACTTTTCATTAATACTAGTAAATTGTTTATATTGTATATTTATAGTTCGTTGTTTGTATTGTATATTTCTATTCTTAACACTTTTGAGACTTCCACGATATTTTCTTCGAAGAAGCTGTCAAAATATTTCGGTAAATGCCAATGTTTCGTTAACATTATAGTTCATTTTATCAGGAAAAATAATCTGAATTAGGTTACAATATTTACAAAATGTTAATGTTTAATAAAGTATTAAGTTACGGATATAATCGTAAACTGCATAACTTCTTCGAAGGTGTATATGAAACTAGCGTCTTACTTGGTGGAAAATCAAAAATTTCAAGAGTTCTAAGCATATTTTTAATAAAAATAATAATTTGATAGACTCGTATAATAAAAATTAAAAGGAGATAGTGATAATGCCTTATCGAGTCATTGCACTTGGTGTTGGTGTGAAGTTGTGAATGTGTTTATTGTGATAATTGTACAACGTTTCGACACACAGAATTAATAATTTTATACCATAGTCTCAATAACCATTTACTCACTCGACTACAATTTTTATATATATTTAATCTTCTTACGTTTATTATCTCTATAATAATTAAATTTATTGTTATATCATTAAGTGTTCCAGGGAACACAATGTATTGAATATTAGATTGTTACTATGATAAGGATCCGAACTAGGATCGAAACGTTGCACAATTATCACAATAAACACATTCACAACTTCACACCAACACCAAGTGCAATGACTCGATAAGGCATTATCACTATCTCCTTTTTATATTTTTAATAGTTCTATAGTTCTGGGCCTGAAAAAGACACTTTTCAGGGCCCTGAAAGCTATCACAAAAATTATTGTTTAAAAATCAAAATAGCAATGTTAATCGCTAGAACTCCTCAGAGAACTATGTATTTTTTTAAATCCTACAAGAAAATGTGGTTATTACCTTTGTTTGATAAAATTCGCTCTGTGTGAACCTGGCATCTCATTTTGTATGATGGGTTTCTCGGCTTTAATGGCCGGAACTATTTATTTAATCTATATAGAACTATAGAACTATTAAAAATATGCTCAAAACTATTAAAATTTTTTAATTTTTCACCAAGTAAGACGCTAGCTTCATACACATTCTTCTATATAAGTTCTATTCTTATTATTTTATTTATTCTAAATTAATCTAATTATATACCGGCAGGTTGAGGACTAAATCGCGAATCCATAGACTGCTGATAGCCTACTGCAGCCATTTCATTGGCCAAACTCTGAGTGGATACAGGCTGACCCCACATTCTCCTCTGCACTTGCGGCTGATCATGTAAGTAGAACTGCGATTGCTGCGAATCTTGCAGTCTGGGTGTTAATGGATTCATTGGTGGCATTCCGTAAGTCTGCAAGGTAAAAGTTTGAAAAGAAGTGGTTGATAAATTAATAACATAATGCGATGCAGAATGTACTTCCGGCATACGCACTTGCATGTGCTGCTGACTGAGACTCTGCAGCTGCTGAAGCTGATGCTGCATCTGTTTCTGGTGCTGCGACATCAGATGCTGCTGCTGAATCTGATTCTGCTGATTCGCTAAACGTTGTATATCGGCTTGAATTTCGCTCAGGCTATTGTTCATTCTACAACAAACAACATTTCGCATCACGATAGTTGTTATAATTCCAATGCAATTTTTGCAGGCATGAGTACTAACTGCGATATGGATTGACGATACTGTTCGGGATCCATATTCTCAATATCTGGAGTGCGTCTGGTCTCAATGAATGGCGCATTACCGTCATGTTCCAGCCACTTGTGCTCGACATCCCGCACATCCTCGCTAATTTCCTATATTCATTATCAGAAAAATAAAATGCCTCAGAAAGATACGATACTACAAATACGTACTTGTGTGTAATATTTAAATATAGGAAAAATGATTCGATCTTGTTTAGCGTTTTGTTTTTAAATGTAAAAATAACTAATCATATTCATTAAAAAATAATTAAAAAATAAGTCTCGGATTTTTCCTAGTCATATAATTGTTTAAAGTGTATATGTACGATTATTTTATATATATACCGGGTGTTTCAGACCACCCGTACAAGCTTTTTATCTTCATAAGATAAGGTCCAACCGAAAAAGTATTCAGACAAAAATTATAGTGTTTTAAAAGATCTATTTTCTGGTGCTATGAGTTTGACCTCGAGTGGCATTGCCAAAGTCAGGTCAAGGTCACGTCGATTTTTTAAAAAGGAAACCCTAATTTTTTTTATTGCATGTTCTTGTAGCTTGTCTCGAGCTTTTCAAAACATTATAATTAAGCTCGTTTTTATTAAGTATTTTTTAAATTATAAGGCTTGAAGGTTACAGTATCTCCGACATTATCTGATAAAAATGATGATCATAACCTTTTAAACGTTGTACGGGATCATGACGTTGATAACATTTGTCAAGATGATGACCTTTGGAGGTTGTTCCTCTTATTTTCATTTTTAATGTAAGACCAAGATAATGGTTTCTATCAAAAAATTTTAATAAGTAAATTAAGTGCATACTATCGAATAATAATATTTTAAATTCTCGGTTTCAAACGGAAATGAGTTATTAAAATCGGAAACTGATTTTTTTCAATGGAACATGGCGTATTTTTTATTGCAAATTTAAATTAAAGGTATACGAAAAAACATGAAACTTTTATACCAAGCACTTTTTCGAAAAATGTCAAGTGTAACTTTCAAGCCTTATAACTCAAAAAGTACTTAATAAAAATGAATTAATTACAGTATTTTAAAAAGCATTCAAGACAAACTACAAAAATATGCAATAAAAAATTAGGGTTTTTATTTTTTAAAAATCGACGTGACCTTATTCTGACTTCGGCAATGCCATTTAAGGTCAAATTCACAGCACCAGGAAATAGATCTTTTAAAACCCTACAATATTTGTCTGAACACTTTTTCGATTGGGCCTTATCCTACGAAGATAAAAGGATGATACGAGTGGTATCATCCTTTTATGGGTCTGAAATACCTAGTGTGTGTGTGTGTATATGTATGTATATATATAT